GTGTTCGAAAAACTAACTTTATCCTGTATTCTAAGTACAGTGAACGTGTTGTCTACATACCTTCACCATACTTTTGGGGTGGGGCTGAACGTATCAATCGCTAAGTTCTCCCACCTATCCATGAATATATCTGCCACAGCCAAGGATATTGCTGACCCAATGGCAACTTCCTCAGTTTGTTTGTGTAATTTCCCTTGGAATTTAAATACTGTGAAATTCAGGCATAGCTACACTCCCAGCATTATGTCCTCAAGTGGCACTTTCGTTCTACGTTCAAGTTCTTGGTCAGAAATGAGTTCCTTTCTGACTGCCTCTATAGCCACACTTATCGGTACACGTGTATATAAACTGAAAATGTCAAAATTAACCATCTCCTCTTCATTATCTAATTTTATATTATCTACCCCATCTATGCTTTAGTTCATGAAATTTGTTTGTCAAGATGTCGAATGGTTTCTAAGAGGATTTAATACTATGGCTAAATATTTAGACAATGTCTTGGCATGTAATTAGAAGTCAGTTTTATGGATGTTGACTAGCAGTGGAATCCATCAGGATGCGCGCTTCGTCCTACTTGGGACTCGTCTTCTGAATGCACCTGAGACCAAGCACCTCAGTCCAATCAATTGACAGGAAAATCTAGAATTAAATTAAATAATTATAATTTTTAGTTTAATTTACCACCAAACTAGAAAACGAGGTGGGGGCGGGGGGATAGGAGATCACAGAAGGCATAAAAAACTGCATTTACAGATTTATTTGCAGTTGTGGTAGTGGTGAGTACATTGGAAGGACAGTAAGAACAGCTTCTATCTGGGTTATTTTTGAGCGCATCCCAAGAAATTTATGTTTGAAGATTAGCAAATATTCAAAGAGAGCATTTATCAGATACCTTGTGGATACCTCTGGTCATCTCCTCAAGATTTTCAAATCCTCTAAAATGTTAAACATACATAAGATAGCAAATTTATTACAAATTGTTGAAGCAGTTGTAATCAAACCTTTCAAACTAGACTTATGCATTCAGAGATAAGCAGTGTGATCAATATCTCACTCACTCACCCAATCACTCTCTTGATAATTGCATTCTGATCTTGAATACACTGATTAGTCATTCATACTAGTGATCCCACGTCACTGAACGAGTTCTCAGTTTTATGAACTATAATCTTCTTGAGTTGTCATGTGAACTTAAAAGCCAACACTATTTAAAGCCAACTGATTGGTGAGGACTAGCAGCGGAATCCAGGATGCGCATTTCCTCCTATTTGGTACTCGTCATCTTGATGTAGCTGCATTCCATCCCAGTGAGTTAATGGTGGTCTTCCCACCGAAGCTTGAACTCACTGTCCATAGCTTCAAACGCCAAAGCGTTATCCACTAGACCAATTGGATCACGAGAGCCACCTCTTGTGCAATGGGTCATATTAATTATATAATTCAATTTTAGATTTTCCCGTCGATTAAATGACTTACAGTTACTCTTGATCTCTAAAGCTTACTTATCAAGTGAAATTAGATGGCAGACTAGCGCCAGCCAGTGAGAACAATTCGATTTTATTATACAAAAATATATGACATATAACCATTACAAAACATATTTGGAAAATTGAGCCAGTAAACATTTCTGGTATGTGCTACTTAGAAAATTCAATAGCAGGATATGGGAGAGAGATTTTTATCGGCCCTCAAAAATCTCATTTAAGGGAGAGATACATTTGATGTCAAAGAGATAAAATGAGCCAGTATTGCTGTGGAACATGGGTGACAAGAAAAGAAGGCAAAGAAACACAATACGAAGGAAGGAAAGAAGTACCACAACATGGAAGATGTGTGCAAGTGAAGGTTTTATTATACGGTGTACATAATTTCTCTATGTGTATATCAAACATTCCGTTGTCAACCACTCTGGTATTCAACATGCATATACAAGTTCACTTGCTCGTGCGGAGCTGAGTACATTGGGTGTACCATGCATCGTCTGCTTGTATAAAACGCACTCGGGAACACTATCCAGCATGCTTAGCAAAGGGGTAAACAGTTCGATAACCGAATACCTGGTGAATTCTGGACATTCAGTCCCATTTAAAATCACCTTCAAAGCTATATAGTAGATCCGATCCAAACCGCCAAAGGGGGTGAAATCAAGAGATCTAGGAATATCTGAAGCAGTGGAGATCCAAAAACTCAAGCCCACTCTGCGTGTTCAAAAGAAATACTTCCAATCGTTGTCCCTACTAATGGCCATCATCAAAAGTCAATCTCACCAGTAATGTTTATCCTAATACCTTTCTTGTCCAACATTCCCGTTAATTTGTTATATTTACCTTTTTAAATCCCTATTTGCATTATTAGATTTGGTTAATGTTTCTATTTTTATATGTCCAAACCTCCTACTCATTTCGTTAATACTACATCCTTAACCTGTAATTATACAAACTAACTAGTTATCTAGTGATTTTAATCCTATTTGGTCTTCTCTACCCGATCTTCCTGATTATTACACATTGTGTTTTTTAATTTGACCTTTGGCCTGAAATACTTCTAGAATAGTGCCACTACCTATCTTCAAAGTGTTAATTACACTTAGTAATTTTATTAGTTCTACCGTTACTTGTGGTGTAGCCACCTTCGAACAAATAAAGATCCTGTGGCTTGCAGTTTTCAAAGACGGAGACATCACGAGCTTCTTGTGGGACTTTGAGGCCGTTGCGGAGTCGGTTGGCGTATGTTTGTGCAGGGGACGCTATTAAGAGGTCAGGAAAAGGTGGCCCACGACTGAGTGGAACGGATAGGTGGGCAGGCTTATTGGAATTCGACAATAGAACAGTTAGTGCAGGAGTTCGACAGCCAGACTGGCAGGCAATCCAGCATTTCCACACCATAAAGCTAGGACCTGACGGAAACCCATTGATGTTGACTATGAAGCCTACGAATCTACTTCGTCGCGCACTCCTCACATTGGATGAACAGTCATTTCCTCTCTTTCTGACATCAAATCCATCTCTCCGCTAATTATTATTTTGTGCCGATCAAAGTCCTTATATATGGTACCAATAAATCTTGTCAGCAACACCCACCACACCACTAACTTGATTGGTTGTACAAAGTCAGGCTTCAAGGTTATCCTATGACACTGAGTTTAACCTAAATGCTTTAGCGGCCGACATTTTGTATCTGTTTTAGCCTTTCCTGACTTAGCTAGTAGAATACAATCACTTAATTATTAGGTGAAATTAGGAATGTCTAACAAAGGCTGACAATTTGACAAGTCTAACGTTGATTTTATGAACAAACCATGGACGTCAAATTAAGTAGGGCAAAAAACCAAAAAAAGGTTATGCGTATTTCTATTCAAAGCTCAATTTGTTGACATAAACATGGACTTTAAAATTTACAGTATTTCATAATGAAATGTCATTGATTGGAAAACCATTGGAAAACATCCTGAGAGTACTGGACAGCCAGCTGTATCTTTCTGCTTTGGAGTTCCTCATCAGTACTCACCCACCGCATTGGGGTTCGAACCCGAGACCTTCTGATCACAAGGTAAGCATTCTGCCTATTATTCTCTATTGTTCCCCTTAGTTTTTCCCGGGCTACTGAAAAAAGACTATACCTTATTATGCAGGATGTTAAAGGTTGTCAGCAGGGTAAGCAACGTGCCACTTAACCAGCTTGTTAGTATTCTGGTTGACAGACACATGGACTCATGTGAAAAATGGGCTAAATCCATTTTATCTAACTCGCACCACCCTCTTCACTCACAACTCTCCTCTTGCATCTCATCAGGCAAAGCCAGAAGCCTATATAGAAAAGTATATGCTCGCACCAGCAAGTACAAAAACTCAACCATACCCTACTTGGCTCGTGTTCTGTGCGATAAAGAAAGCATTAGGCGTAACACCTATAACTCATTAAATAGTCAGTAGAACACCTGGACCTCGTCTTTCCAACTCATATCATTTATAGGCACAACATTCTCTTTCTTTCTTTTCCTTTTCTCTCTCTCTCTTTTTCCGTTATGTGCTGCTTTGTTTCTTTCTCTCGCTTACGCCTGTAAATATGATAGCACCTACTTTTCTAACACCTTCAAACACTGTTCAACTTTGTTGTCATAATAAAATGAGATTTCCTTAATCTATGTCGAATTCTATTTATTGATAATGAAAAAGAGAAGACATTCAGCGAAGAGACTCTTTTCGGCGAATTCATTCACATAGCTGTACAATCGCATTTATATATAATTATTTGTGTGTGTGTACATGAGGTTTGTCAAGTTTAGATAATTGATTAGTTAATACAAGAATGATGTAGTATAGAGATAAAGTTAATCAGACTGCAACTAAAGTAAGATTGAGTAAATAAGTTGGATGACCTAACATAAATGACTAGAAACTGAGCGATGTTCAAGTCAGTAATGTACTAATGTACAATAATGTACTAACTGGATGCAATAGTGTAGTAAAAATGTTGAGAATTCCATTCTGTATCACAAGTACCGTTTTGGAATAAAGCAAATTATTATTACTACTATTTTAAGACCATTAACCGATTGAGACCCAATCCAATGGCAAGCCCATAAATTCGAACTTCTGCAATTCATGATATAGCGCAGTCGGCGCTAGCCAGTGTCATCGCTGGTGAGTATTTGTCCCCACACCCGACCCCCTGTACCCCACTCACTGGTCACGACTTCCCACTAGAACCCCAGATAACTACCTACCTGAATAGAGTCACTTCGCGGCCAACGTCGTGCAAGGCCCTCTCAAAGACGATGAAATTGAGGTAGAGACTTGACTGTCATCCATCAATATGTATACTACAGAAATATAACTGCATTTCAATTTAAAAACTTTCAACCACAGTAAGTTAAGTTTGACCCAGTCGCTAACCTGTTTTATATTTGACAAGTGAATGTTTTCACAGTGTTTTTTTCTGTTTGTCGCCTTATTTGTTTATCCACACGCTGTGCCCTATTTTGATGTTTATGTTTACAGGCAGCAACTGCTGGTAAATGGCCATTGAAATGGTATGCTCCCGAGTGTATTTATTACTTTCGTTTCGATTCAAAATCTGATGTATGGAGTTATGGAATTACACTGTGGGAAGTTTATTCCTATGGGGAACGACCGTATAGAGTAAGTGTATCTGTATGAATGTTTGTATGTATGTATATATGTAATTAAGTGACCACTATTCTAGCTGGCTTCCCATTATGGCGCACTGTAAATTGTCGATATTAGATGGTTATTGGCAGTCGACAGGAAGCCCTGCTCAACCTACACTTCACGCCTGTTATTGGTAGTCTTCAGCAAAGTGGATCTGCAACCACTTGAGAGGAGTTCATGTTCCCCTCTGAGATTCGAACACGCGTCACCCAGTGCTGTCTGAAGTCAGAGGCGTTACCACCACTGAGCTATTCAGGCTCACTATTGATCACCACTTGTATGACAGTATTAGATACCTAGGTCAGGCAAGGCCGATTGCCTCCAGGCATCTGATGTCAACAATTCACAGTGCGCCGTGACGCAGGGCCGCTCAGTGGCATGGTAGCCACATTGCGATCTCAACTCACGATGGAATTTTGTTTGTACCAAAAGCTTTACGCTAGTTACTAGCCAGTGTATAATCAAATTATTATTGGATCGAGGAGTTCATCATGAGCTGACATCAGTTAGAGAGCCATTGGAAAACCACCTGGAAGTACTGCACAGCCAACTGTTTAGTTCCAGTTTGGGACTCTTCAACAGTATGCACCCACCTCCACGCCAGGGTTCGAACCCACGACCTTCTGGTTACAAGGCAAGCTCGTAGACCATGGTGCCACTGCGACCCGACCATCCAATGGCCAGACAGCCCATAGATTCTAACTTCTGCCAATTCACACACGATATAGCACTACCATTTCGCGACGTCTTCTTCGATGAGTTACTGCCTCATCTTCAACCTGCTGTACCCTACTTATCATGGCTTCCCACCAGAATCCCAGGTCACTGCCTCAATAGGGTCCCTACAAAACCAATATTTGAAAATTAATCTGATGCTCACTAGCGAATCGCCCCACTCAGGCAGTGACCTGGGATTCTTTTGAGAAGTCGTGACCAGTGGGGTACAGCAAATTGAAGATGAGGCAGTAACTCATCGAAGAAGACACTGCGAAATGGTGCCGATATATGGTGTTTGAATCGGCAGAAGTTAGAATCCATGGGCTGGCCATTGGATGATCGGGTCCCAGTGGCTCCATGGTCTACGAGCTCGCTGGTCTTGTAACCCGAAAGGTCCTGAGTTCGAATCTCAATGGGGTGGGTGCGTACTGCCAATGATTCCCGAACTAGGATGAAACAGCTGTCCAGTACTCCCTGATGGTTTTCAATTGTTCTCTAACTGATATAAATCCGTGGTCAAACTAGTTAAAACAAAACTAATGCTTTAAAACCAACTGTTGAAAATTCTACTAATCAGCCACTGATATAACAGGAAAGGTTAAGAGAATTGGTAAAGGAAATCACACCATATTTACACATTTCTAACCAGATTTTTAGTTGAATATGTTAACAGATAATAAGAACCGTTCTGATTGGCTGTTAATGTTTTGAAGGTTAAACCTTGGGATTATTTCCTGACCACAACGTAAGCGATAAATCGAAATTTGACAAACAAGAGCTTCTGCTTCTCTAGTCACGTGGACTTAAAATGTTGTTTTTAATTTCGCATCTATATACTACTGATAATTTGTGTCAGTAGTATGCATCACACTGACCTTTTTTCCCTACTCATTTCATTTTAAAATAAATAATTTTTTTTTGTGATTTAGGATATGAAAGGTGCACAAATATTAGCAATGCTTGATCAGGGCCTCCGCTTATCACGTCCTAGTCGATGCCCTGAATCCATATATAGTGTTATGCAACAATGTTGGAATTTCGAGGGAGTTCATCGGCCAACATTTGCTGAACTTGTCCTGACAATATCACGTATACTTAAAGCTATGCCATCACCACAAACGAATGTGTGCATTCCTAACAATAATAATAGCAATAACAATAATAATATTCATACTACGAATATCAGCTGTGGTAGTAATCGTAATGGTACTTCCACTATTACTGCTACTTCTGCTGCTGCTGCTATCAATACTACTAACAATAATAATAGTAGTAATAGTATGATGTCATGTAATACAACTTTAAAATTCGATCATTTTCATCATTCACCAACACATCAACACACTATGAGTGGAAGTAATGATAATAATAAAAATAATATTAGTAATAATAATACAGGCTTACAGCCAATAGAATTTAGTCCATCAAGACGTATCATCGGAGGGATTGGAACGACGAGTACAAGTTCTGGAGGAAGTGGTGTCAACAGTGGTGGAAGTGATGGAATTTCATTTTGAAAATTAAATTGAAAAAAACACATTATTATTTTTTATTTTATTATGGATCTATTTGATTTATTACTTGATATAATTATCGGGGATAAAGTTCAATTGACCGACCGACCGACCGCCTGACTGACTAACTGACCAACCAACTCGCAGTGTTCAGCATTCAAGAGTAAACAGCTGAGATCCATGTTTATTTTATGAACCTCAGTGTCTCCCTCTGGTGCGCACGTTCTTTCTGTACGTGCACTTCTTCTTGTGTCAATCTCCTGGTTTCCCGGCCACCCCTCATCCCCTTTTTGTTCCCCTCCCTTTCCGGGCTTCTTTACTCACTTCATCTAATCTGAGAGCATTTCACTTGAATTCAGTACTCTTCAACTATAACTACGAAACTTTCTTCACAGTCTTACTGAAAAGAGAACCATAGTCTTCTGTAGGAACATTATTCCCTATTCTATCTATTTCTAAGTGTCTCTATTATTTGTGATGGTTCAACACTGTCTGTCTCCACTTTGTTTTCGCCACTTCGTCTTGTTCTGTCAATAGGAAACGAAGAATTCTTGGCGTTTCATTGAATCCCTTCATCCCAGTCCCGTGCACTGTCTCTGCCTCGCATCCTATCCCTCCCCCTCCCTCCAACGATTCACACTGGTGCCTCATTTTATTTGTTCTTGTGTTTATATGTCAAAACAGAAAGCTGAAATTTGCGGTTCCTCAACACAAATTGAAACTAAAGTGGAAAGCAAAAAAATGCATTTATGAGTTCAATTCATACACAGTTAGCTATAATGTGATTTTATCAAAAGTATTTTCCCTTCTTTTCGCCCCCTCCAACCTCTCCTGATTGTTTCTCTCCCTCTTCGTCTTCATCTGGGATTTGTATCTGGGCCTCTTCTTGGCTTTTTTTCTCATTCTGTCTGATTTCATCTATTTTTGACGACAAAAGCATGTGTGTGTGCTGAAATGTTGTCACTTCTTTAATGATCTTTCTTCTGAACATAATGTTCAATACATTGTCTTCTTTTGCATCCTTTTTCTTCTTCTCTGCCTCCTCTTCATTTGTCTTCATCTTCACCTTCTTAGTCGCTCTCCTCCTCATCCTCCTATCGGGCCATTTTCCTCTTACTTTGACTTCCCCCTACTATTACTCGTTCTCTTCCTCATACTTATGTTGATCCATATTCTCTTCATCCCACTACTCACTACTCTTACTCCTTCCCTCTTCTTCACACCCTTACTCTCTACTCCGTCCATCCATTCCTTAGTCGTCCATCTGTTCATCCTTTGTTTATCCCTTCTCTTATTTTGATATTCCCGCTTCATTTTAAATAAAAATAATGCGAAGAAAGAGGAGAAGTAAAACAAACAGAGTAAAACAGAATAAATAAATAAATAACCTAAACTAAACTAAATCAAATATAATTAAATAAACAAATAACATAGAGTGAAGAAGAAAAACCAATAAAAAAATTGTTTTTGTACAAATTATATACACTGATTATTATGATTACAATTATGAATATTATATGAATGATTATCGTTTTTTGACTTTAATTTTTATTTCAATATCCAAGGAACAGAATCAAAATGAAAGGTTTATGAAGGAAATTATTTCAGATTTGACTATGGATTAATATCAGTTAGAGGACCATTGAACACCCCCCCCCAACAGGGTGGAATGGATAGCTGACTGTTTCGTCCTAGTTTGAGATGCATTGATAGAATTTACCCACACCTAGGGTTCGAACCCAAAGCATTCCGGTTACAAGGCAAGCTTGTAGACGGTTACTCAGCCACTGTGATCCCACTTAATGGCCAATCCAAGCATTCTAACTTCTACAAATTCATGATTGTAGTGTGACTAGCACCAGCCAATGTTTTTCTCATTCCTTCATGTTCCCAGTGGAGCATAGCGCTTCAAGCTAGAAGCCTGAAGTTTATTTTTACAGAATGGGATTGCTAGCTTCATGTCCAACCTTTCCAATTTACCAGCGTTTTATTACTGGCTTAGTAAGGTAAAGGAGTGCGTCAATGGCCGAAGCTCGAACCCCGGACCATATGCGGGGTCGGTGAGCACTCTACCTCTGTGCCACTGACGCACCAGCCGGTTACGACTTCTCACTAGAAGCAGCTTCAGGCAACTTCATTCTCTAACCAGTGGATACCTACTGCCGACGAGTCTCACACTAGGACGAAGGACTCTCTGTTGGTTTTCAGTGGTTCTTTAACTGAGTTATAAATCCGTGAACAAACCTCTACAAACTAATTATTGAAAAGGGAAATTATTCATAGTCTGTGTTTTTTAAAGGAGTTTGATTAGATTCAGTGTCGGCTTTCATTCCTTGCTGTATGTTAAGACATTTTTGAGTGCATCGGTCACATCGAGGTTCAAATGAGGAGTGCTGTGCTGCGAGTTTTACTGCCTTAAAACATGGTATCCAAACGGCTGGACCTATTGCAAAGTGATAAAGCTATTTTAGGTGAAGATTAATCGTTCAGTGCTTTCTTCAATGAAACAGTGATTGGGAAACATGTTCCACGGGTAGTGTTTGTATATGTGTGGAGCCGATTCTTGCAAATGAATTGTGAACTGTAACTTATTGACAACTATTCTACCCCGAACGACTAATGAATGGTAAGGAACATATCACCAGTAACCATTATTATTCATTACTGTTCCCTTGGGTTGCGAATGAAACATACGGAAGGGCTTCAACAGTATGTCTCCCCCTTGTCCTATTTTCCGCAGTCCCCTTTTTAGCTGGCCCCACGGTTGCCTCTAGTCTTTCATCTCCTCCTCACACGGTCTCCTACATGTCACCCTCAGACAAATGCCAAACGCTTTGTTTTCCATTCAGGCTACATTGGAGTAGTGGCCTGGTGAGGGATATGATTCGACGATCTCCTCACCGTATTTCCACTCCATTCCATTTTCCTCACCATATTTGCTCAGCAACAGACTTTTAGTGGGTTTATTCCCAGAGATTCTTATCGCTAATTCTTTCCACTGACCAGCTGACCATTTGATCTTCAGTATGGAACCAGCGCGTCGGTGGCATAGCGGTTAGGACGTTCGCCGACCATGCACATGGTCCGGGGTTCGATCCCCGGCCGACAAGGCACTCCTTTACCTCGCTAAGCCCGAAATAAAACTGGTAAAGGGGAAATGTTGGGCATGAGGCTAGCGACCTCATCCTGTAAAATAAAAAACTGCTAAAGAAACTTCAAGCCTCTAGCTTGAAGCCCTATGTTCCACTGGGAACGTGAAGGAATAAAACAAATGGAATCAGCCATCTAAAATGGCAGCTGTTGATAAAAGTTAGCAGTAGCCTGTTGTAAATGCTGTTCGTGACATGCAGTGCAAGTTTCTGACCCATATGGAAGAAGTGAGTGGCTGATTTAACATTCATTTTGGAAATCCGAATATTGTTATTTACGTTTATGAGTGCAGAAGACTTCCAGACTGATTTTAGAGAAATGGGAGTCTCCCTTACCTTTCTGATCCCCACTGGCTTTGATACCTCCATCCAAGCCAACTGTCTGTGGTTGAAACGTGCTTCCTGGCCAAATAAGTGAAGGAATTGACCTCTGTCAAATTCCTTCCGTTGATTGTGATTGGTGCTGGTCGTTGTTGCTTTTCGTTGGTTGGTTGGTTATCTTCATCACCTCCATCTTCTCTACGTTTACCTGCAGTCCGGTCTTCACTCCCCTGCTTCACCTCTTCTGCCAGTTTGCTGGTTTCCGCCCATCTGAAACTCTTCGAGTTTGTGTGAGTGACATTACACATAAGTAATTCACGCGCGAAATCCAGATCTTCTAGAGTCTTCTGTCTTCTCACTCCCGAAGCACAGTCCCACGCATAATCCAGTACACCACAATAAGGAATATCATCTTAGGTGATAATAGGAAGACAGCCTTGCCTTACTCACATATCCCCCTCAATGACAGGCTTCGCTGAGTTTCCCGTTGTGGACCACTTGACTGACGCGTGGCACTGTCATATGGTCAGTCGGTGAATGAGGTTGATAAAGATTTGGTGAAGGAGTTTCCAAATTACTTCTCAACCAACACTGTCTGTCGAAGGCCTTTACAAAGTCAATGAAATAGAGGTAGAGTCAGAGTTGACCGCTATTCTAAGCTTTGTTCTGTGGTGATGATGAGCAGAGTTGCAGCTTAATGAGCACATGATTTGTCTTTCCTGAATCCAGCTTCTTCTGGAAAGGGTGGGTGACGTTTTGTATCCAGTGCATCTTTTATTCTCTCTAGGGAGAGTTGGACGTCAGTATCAGCACTCTATTTTCAAGATAAATTACACAACAAGATTCAACAAATCACTTTATAGACAACTTTATAACTTGAATTAGTTCCTACCTTTTTGAATAAAGCAAGAACAACAGCGGTTTGTGCAGAATAATTAGACGGTACCATCATTGTTTATTTCGTTGGCTTCTCATCAACTGCCATTTACAGCCTAAAGATATTATTATTAAATTTATGTACAGAAAACTTTTAACATACTTGCAAATTTTACATGATGTCAGTTATTGACAGAAGGTTCTGAACTGAGTGAACAGTGCTCAGAAAATTACGCTTCTATAGTTTTTACACAGGAAGTTCAAGTTTAAACAAAATAAATATATGCATACAATGGTGAAGGAGTTATGCAATAAAGACGAGAGATGCGTAAGATGCTGAGTAACTAATAAATTAGGTGACAATGTACTGAGTTCAACTCAAATCATAGAAACAAGAGATAAGCAAGACTACAAATTATAGAAGGGGGTGAGATTAAAGCCAAAGATAACATAATGAAGTGAAGGAGGGAGACAGTGAAGACATTCAGTTACCGAAAAGGGCAAGGAAAGATTGATCTATGCTGCTTTCTGAACACATAAATCGGGTTTCGGAAGTTTGACAGCGATTACTTCGGGAAACTTGAGGAGAATTGAACTCTTTTATCTATTGATAATTTCGAGAGATCTCGCAGTGTCACCCTTATGTATGATTCGTATCAAGGAGATGCCTGGTAATGGCACTATTGTAAGCGTTTGTTCTTTTGAGACGTAAACTCTTTGA